TTCCGATCTTTAACCCTATGTCGCGTAAAAAATATAATAATTGCTCGATCGCTATAGGCAGCATCTTGAATTTTTATCGACATCGACTTCTCGTAATCCCAGGTATTACCCTCGTAATCGCACAGATACGTAATTGATTAATTATAGGGAATGAGCGCATTGCGCGGGATTGGTGCGCGAAGGCTCAACACTGGAAGTCAATCGGCGAGACTCGAGTGTACCCAGGAGGAGATGATGACACGTACTTGAAAAGAAGAGTGCCCCGCTCCCGAGCACTTATTTTGCTCCACTCGCCCTCCTCGAACGCGACCTTTGCCGCTTTAACGGCCCGGTCAACGTCCTCCGTCGAGGCGCTCTCGACCGAACAGAGGACGCTCTCGTCGTGGGGATTGATAGTATCAATGGGCTCGCCCGAGCCGTTGACGAAACGACCCCCGATGAAGAGCTGCCGGGGGAAGCGCAGCTCCATCCCATTGGCCTGCATCACCACCGCCTCGAAGTCGAGCTCCTGGTTGGCGCTGGACCCGCGCCTCGCCAGTATCGCCGCCGTCGCCAGCTCGCTGAACACCGGTGCCATGAACACATCCGTGTTTTGTAGATGAATGTCGAGGCTGTCCTTCAGTTCTTCGACCAGCCGCACCACGTCCATGCTGCTCGCTCCTACAAAAGCTCAGCGATTATTTAACGGAATATTAATGTAAGCCGGACCAGCCACTTGAACGATCAATACTAATCATATATAATAATAAACAATAATAATAATTAATAATATTCTTATTATTGTTATTGTTATCATTATTGTTACGTTGATTTTTCATTCGGATATATAATCTGAACTTTTTACATATTGCCATAAGCGTTCTTTTCTACGAATTACATTTGACTTTTGCTGGCAACGGAATGCTGAAAGTCGGCCGTTGACTATCAACATGCGTGAAATAAAAATAAGAGTATAGGAATCGAAGTAGAGGATAAGCTAGGGAATGTACGGTTAGAAGATATCAGAAATTACGTAAAAGTATTGGAACAAGTGATTTTTATTTGACGAGAATTGAGACGTTGAAGGTAACGATAAAATTACCTGTGAATAATTCTCTCGCAGATTTACGATTTCAACTGGATGGCTTTTCGGATATAATTTATTTAACAATATTACGATTATAAGTTGTGTGACGATAGCTTAGTTGTCTTTGCGTTGGTAATGATTAAACATAGCTAATTCTAAGATAAATTCTTCCGACGATACTCATATAAACTTTATTTAGTTTAAGATAAATTTTAAGTAGCCTTTTCCGACGCTTTAAATCTTTAATGGCCTCGAGAGAGAGAGAGAGAGAGAGAGAGAGAGAGAGAGAGAGAGAGAGACGAATTAATCGAGCAATTTATTTATTATTTTTACTATAACAGTGGACTGGCATTGTTGATTTTAATGAAATCGAACGGCCTAATAGTAATGTTAAAATAATTATTATGAAAATCTCTCATTAAAATAATTTCAAATCATAAAATCACAAGACATGAATAATTTAATCAATAAAGTAAATTATTGCTTTACAATAAAAGCCATTGCTGTGCGTATTAATTGAGAAAGGCTGATTGCAGACATTTCACACCATTGATCTTGAAATCTTATTTGTAAGAAAATATTAAAATATAAGTTATTTGTATAAGTATTTGGCACGAAATACATGTATATGCTCTATACTGTACGTATTTATACTAATAAACTAAGGGTTTAGAAAATGTTAACAATTTCTCGAACAATATTTGTTAAAAAAATTGGCACGGTTTTTCATTATAATTAATCGTATAAATTATTTTATGGATACGTTTTTACATATTCTTTATTAAATTCTAATAATAATTTACACCATTAATATTTCAAATTACATAGTTTTATTTCTTTTTTTATTCATTTGAATGTTAATTTAAAAAAAAAAAAACTTATGTCGAACGTAAATTATTGTTGAAAATGCGATTAAAAAAAAAAAAAAAAAAAAAAAAAAAAAAAAAAAAAAAAAAAAAAAAAAAACTATAAATTTGATAATTTTTTACCAATTCAAAATATATGTCAAGTCGCGTTTATTATATTTAATTGTAAAAAAATCGTCGTTTCTCATTATTCTCGTTATTTTTACTTTTAACGCATAATAAAGGCTCGCCTAATGAATGTCATTCTAAAGATTAAATTGATAAGTTTGTGCTGTACCTATTCCTTTCGACTTTGACACGGATAAAAGGTAAAAGAAAAGAAAAAAAAAAAAAAACTAGCAATAAAATTGAAAATTTTTTTACAAATTTGTTTATAATTGTCGATAAAATATCAGTCTGACGATTGATTTTGATTTAATCCTATATATGCATTTGTATAAGAATCGCAATGACTATTTACAAAACAAAGTAGCGCAAGTGGCTCTGGCTCTCCTCCGTCCACTCACATTAGCTCATTAAATATTCCATATTATTAAGTACAGGCAGCTTAGCCACGCAGCCCAATCAGCACTCTCGGGCTCAGGTACAATAAGCACGTAAGACGAAAATTGGCGCTAACGACAATCACCGATCATAGAGTCGTATGTGTGGCCAACCGCTGCACGGGACGCACACGCACGCGAATGCCTGTCCAGAAATATATTTTATAAAATCATCGATAGAGCTCGTTGAAGTGCACGTCCCGAACTACGAAGCGCTGAGCTGATACGTCTATCATCCTGAGCAACGACCCACAGACCCAGAGATAATTCGATAATCCCCACCCCTCCAACTCCTACTCCTACTCCTCCTCCTCCTCCCGTCCCGCAAATTCTTTTTCAAATGCTTTTTAAAATTCTTCCATATCCCCGTAGTGCAGGAAAACAGATAACAACGAGGTTTAGAAACGGAGCAAAAAGAAAAAAAAAAAAAAAAAGAACAAACAAAAGAAAGAGAAGAAAAAAGAAGACAAAAGCTCGTTAGATCGTCGCCGATTATTATGGGAGGCGCGATGGAAGGTTTGTCGCGTCGCGGCGAGGGAAGCCCCGGCAGCGGCACTACTCTTGTCAACGTTGCGCCAGAATTTTTGCCTTTTGTGTGTATTGTCTTAGGCTTAGTCAGTTGAGCGCCGTCCTTCCTTCGCCTTCGCTTCGCCTCGCCTGATAGAGTGGATGGAAGAAGAAGTTCGAGTAAATAGAGTAGTAGAGTCGTCGGGTGGAACAGGTAGTGCGAGGAGTGGAAGCCCAAGACTCCCACGTGTTGCGCGGCCTCTCACACTGATTAAGTCGGATTATGGATCATATCGATAAACTATCCGCGCTTATTGAAATGCTTATCGACGAGGGCAAGTATCTTGTGATTTATTACATTGTGTCCAGTATGTTGTTGGGGAGAGGCGGGGTGATATCACATTACGAGCGCTCGATCGCGCGATTTTGCCATTAACTCTGTAGAATTTGCTTGTGTCCACTTGGCTCGAATTATTAGCCTTGAGTTTCGGTGAAAATATTTGGCTGGGCGAATCGTTGACTGTAATCGAGTAATTAGACAATTCTACTGACGACAGTGTTTAGATGGAGGATGTACGTAAGGCGTTGGGTGCGTTGGCATATTTTCGGTGGAAAAGCGAGTATACGTTGTGGTTGGTATGTTGAGCGGATGTAACGAGTGTGGCACCTTTGCCTTTTTCACTCATACCATACCGTCCATTTTAACGAAAATATTTACTTTTCATATACGTATGCACGCGCACATACACATACACAATTATACACATTTATTCCCTTATTAATAGCAAATATTTAGCTTTTACACGTACGCGCTATCGAATAATCTTACTTATCGCTATTAGAAATACTCTAGTTTAGAGTTAAAAGACACAGGTTACCAATTATTATATAAAGCAGATTTTTCTCAATTGATGGTAAATGAATTTTCTCCTGCAATGTTTGTTTGTGTGATAATTAATTATTTTATTTATTTATTTGTTCATTTTATTTGTTGTTGATTTTCTTTTTTTTTTCTTTTTTTTTTTTTTAAATTCAGCTTTGCAAGTCAACGATTACAATGTCATTTTCAATGTTGTCTTTGCACATGTAAATTATGAGATTAAATCGATTTGGTATTCGCGAGTTTTGTAATCGTTCAACGGTATCCAAATTTTTTTTTTCGCAGCATTGAAGTTTTTTTTGTTGAATTCTTTGAAAAGCTCATTTTCAAAGCCAAAACTTTGATAATTATTCTCAACGTACAATAGTTTTATAAATTCTAGCTTTCCAATATAAACTTTATCTCTTAAGTCTTTTCTCCCCTTAAGAAAGCATCCATTATTTTTTTTTGTTTTTTTTTTTTGTTTTTTTTTTGTTGTTGTTGTGGTTGTTATATGTATACGTACATTATTATTTTCACGCGAAAGAGTATTTTGCATGAAAAAATTGTTGCTCTAATTTAAATTCACTTAAGCGTGAACTCGTTCGAGTCTAATGTTTACTAGCACATTGTAATGTCTGTTTGAAATTTTATAAAATGATGCATCACAGTTATTTGAAGTGTAAGAATACGTAAATGTTGATAAGCTTGAAAATTTTTTATTTTTAGACTTTACTTATTTTATGAAATATGTATATTAGTAGAGTGGTGAGCATCACGTTACGTGTCTATTTAATAAGATTATCGTTTTCTTTTTCATTCTTCTTATACTTCTACTTCTCTCTCTCTCGCTCTCTCTCTCTCTCTCTCTCTCTCTCTCTCTTTCCTTTTTTTAAATTTAAATTAGGGGGATGGGGCCATTTTATAATATTTCTTAGCGAGAAAACAATCTATCAACTGACTTGCAGTATTCATTAAATTTCTTTTTCAGAAGAGAATTTACAAGATTTTCGGTAGTCGAAAGTATCAAAATAACCCAGTATTCGTCGCCCGTAATTATCGTTGAATATTTTCAACAATAACAAAAACAAAAGCAGAAAGAAAAACGAGAAGAAAATGTGAACAGAAATACGCCAAAGAAATGGCATTTCAGAATTTAGATGCCATGACGGTGGAATGGCCCCTTAAGCTTTCAAATGCTTGATAAAATGTAATATTCCCGTTATCTACTGGGGATGCCTAACATTTGTAATCGGATACGCAGGCTTTCTTCTATCTTGGAAAAGTTCACTTTTCATTGCCGCATAGAATATTGTTCGTGCTTAACATGCTACTTTCATTTGCTATCAACCAACAAATCATTCCGTTATAATAGCCTCGAGTTCCAGGAAAATAATAACTCAAAGCTAACGGGAAAAGTCATTCGCGCGCGCGCGCGCGCCTGTGTTTGTGTTTGTGATTGTGGGCGGCGGGAGGTTGGTGAGTCGGGGGTGGGGAAGGTAGAGGGAGGGCGGGAGGGGGAGGGGGAGGGGGAAAGTAACGAGAAGCTATCGACGGGGCTTCAGCGCTCGTATCGTTCAATTCGAATAAATCACCGTGATGTAATAATAATAATAATAATAATAATAATAATAATAATAATAATAATAGATCGTCATTAAAATTTCTTCGCATCAATGTTCGAAAAAGCTTGCGCCCCGCCTATCGCGCTTTCATCCCGGTGATAAAGATATCGAAGCTTCGCCGTGGATACCAGCGTCCAGACATCGGCATACGCGTAAACAAGCAACGTTCATTGAGCCGCCGTTCCAGATGCACAGATCTTCGAGGAGTGCAAGCTGTTGTCAATCGAGGACGAGGAGATGCCGCGATCCGCGGAGCCTCGCGAGGCCGAGGATTCAGAGCCGAGAAAGCCGGAGCCGGCCCCCAAGCGCAAGCTCCCCCTACGTCGTAGGATCGACGTGGCGAAGCGGGCGCGCGACCGGGGCGAGAGCTACGAGACTCCCGGCGGCAAGTGGATGCCACAACGGGAGCAGCGTCCGCCCTGCACCGACGGCTGCCGCCTCAAGTGCAGCCAGCGACTATCGTCCAAGGATCGCCTCGAGATATTCCAGACGTTCTGGAGCATCGCCGATCACGCGGCCCAATGGAACTTCATCGCGCGCAACATGCGCGTCACCCCGAAGGAGAAGTGCACGACGGTGCGCGGCGAGTCGCGGCGGTCCTTCACCCGCACGTACTACTTTCAGCCCCGGACGAACCGCGAGCAGGTCTGCAAGACCATGTTCCTCAATACCCTCGGCATATCGAACGCGTGGGTGGCGACCGTATGCAAGAAGCTCACCCTCAACGGATTCGTCAGTGACGACGGCCGGGGCAAGATCGGCCACAGGCGCAAGAAGCTCGTCGAGCTCGTCTGAGGCCCGAGCCTACGGGCAAATCTGTGATATCTCGTCTTCTTGTAATCATCCATCCGCCAAGCATTTTTACACCATATTTAGCCCCGGATACGACCAATCCATCGAGCTTTTGTATCGTATTCGACGAGACTCGTGACGACGATTGGGCCCCCGCTTCCCATACCCCCTAGCATTGATTACTTTAAGCACTATAACGGCGCTGTGCTGCACCCAAATGCAAAATTCTCGCTCCTATCGTACATCATGATTATTCTTACCTTTCAAAAGCAAAGAAACTCTTACGTCATTTGAGTTATACGCTTGAGACATACGGTTAAGGCAGCCTCGCGAGTCTGAAAATACTTAACCCGCCCATTACAAGACGAATATATGATAAATCTCGTACATTAATTGTGTGATATCATAAGCAGTCTATGGTTTCTCGATGAAGACGCTTTTGTATCGGTAAATCCCGCTACTGTTCGTACGCTGCTTGATTAAATGAATAAACGAATAAAAAGAACAAAATATTTTATCGAGAAGTCGGACCGATTCATTATATATGTAAAATTTTTCTCCTCCTCCTCCTCCTCCTCCTCCTCCTCCTCCTCCACCACCACCACCACCACCACCCCCCCCCCCTTACTTTGTATAAAATTAATTTTTAAAATTAGTTTAGCACAAGATTTCTTCTTTATAAATAAGTCAATTTATAAAAAGCTACGTGATGTGTGTGTGCGTGTGCGTGTGAGCTTATATTCTATGCTCTTATTGATAACGCTATTTTTGAGATAAGAATAATAAATATTTAAATTTATTAGGAGAAAAAGATAAAGCAAGAAAATAGGTATAGTATATAAAAATTCTTTTATCATCGCTAACCAAAACATTTATATCGTTTATCTGTTTATTTTTCTTTTTTCCTTTTTTTCTTTTTCATTTCAATCAAGGAAATCAAAATTTTAACAAAGTGAAACGTAGTCCATTTGTAATAGAAAGTTCAACGAGCGTTTTAAATAATTATGACTTTTTTTTACATTGTGTATTACTCGATATATATATATATATATATATATATATATATATATATAAATATGTATATATCTTTTTTTTTTTTTTTT